AACTCATATCGTCAATTTAGTTACATTTGTTGTCTGCGATACAGAAATGTGACAAAATTATGATAACAAACAAAATGAATTTATAAACAGTAAATCACGTTTACACTATTGCAAATGAACAAACATATCCAAATTTTCAGCAAACATCCGAATTTTCGAACATCCATCTTTGACCGTTTAATGGCGTTCTCTTTTTATCTTACTTGATGTATTCATACGGTCGTTCTTAATATTATTTAAAATTATTTATATTAAACAACATACCTGTATTTCTACATGCTTGCCGTCGACACAGCCAATGCAGTTTGGGAAATTCCACACGTCATCAAAATCTTGGGCAATTTTTTGCCAACTCTCCGGGGTATCCTTCATAAATACTTTTTCCTTTAAAACTGACCAAATTGCATCACACGTTTCTTTAATTATTTTTGACACAGTATTGTGAGCAACGCGAAAAGCATACGAGATGGATGCCATGCTATCTCCGGAAGCGAGGTACCGCACAGTTATGTGCAAACGTGTTTCAGCTGAGATTGCTTTTCTGACATTACTGTTCTTCGTTATCAATGGCCTCACTAAATCAAATAGTTTCCTAAAAACGACAAAGTCCATCCGAAAGTAGTTCCTAAATTTTTCTTCATCATTTTGCTCCATCTCTTTTATTAAATTATTGCTCGCTCCTTGCAGTAGACGTTGCTGGTCACTAAATATCATCCTTACCCAAAAGCGTCGCTCTTTTTGACAAACATTTTTAGTTAAAATATCGTATAATGCGTATAATTGCAGAAGCTTTCGACGTAATCTTGTTTTTACAGATCGTTGATTACATCGCTTGAGGCGATGCGCTATCGCTCCCACAACAAGTAACACGTTTTCTATATTATCCATTTTTTTCTGCAAAACTTATACAAATATTGACTTATACAAATATTTACAATCCGTACGTATGTTATCCGTTAAATTTTCTTTCCACTGTCCCATGCAACAGATTTTACGTATACGGTTAAA